CCCCACCAAAAAAAAAAAACAAGAAAAATCCCTTTTTTGGTTGTCACTCTGCCAATCAATCTCAACACCAGGTAAACGACACGGTGAGTTTTTTTCTTTTTCTTTGTTATTCATTTAATCACGTATTTACTATTTACAATACTTATTTGTTTTTTTTAATCCGCTTATTTTATTTCAAAAAATACATACCTGATCGATCGACGAATATTCCAATCCGTAGAAGTGGAGAATCTTCATCCATCGAACATCTGCCATTCTTCGCGGCGCATCCACTTGCCTGCTTTTCCCCCATCCCTCCTCCTCCTCCTCCTCCTCTTCGTCCTCCTCCTCTTCTTCCTCCTCCTCCTCCTCTTCCTCTATCGCTTTCTCCCCTTGCCTGCCTTTCCCCCATCCCTCCTCTTCCTCCTCCTCTTCCTCCTCCTCCTCCGCTTCCTTCATTGCTTTCTCCTTCTCTTCCTTTTAGCACTTGTCTCTGTATCTCTCTTGCCAGATTCACCACTCCCCGCCTCAACTGCTTGTAAGTGTACTCAACCTTCCGCTTTGTGTACTCAATCTCAACCGTTCGCTTTGTGTACTCAGTCTTCTTTGGCTCTATGCACTCAACTTTTCGCTCCCTGTACTCAACCTTCTTTGGCTCTGTGCACTCAGCTTTCCGCTCTCTGTACTCAACCTTTCCCTCTGTTTCACACGGCTGAAACTGATATGCAGTTTCCTTCTCATTCATTTGCTGATCTGTTTCTTCACATTTTTCAAATTCTTCACATTTTTCAGATTCTCCAGAGTCTTCACAATATTCAGATTTTTCACATTTTTCAGATTTTTCAAATTTTTCACATTTTTCAGACAGCTGTCGAGATGAACTTTGGCCCTGCTCGTTGTCGATCTTCGTTTGGGAAGACGGAAGATTTTTTGTGGTTGCTGCTGCTCTTGTCCTCTTCTCCTTAGCGTCGCTGGACTCGAGAGAATCAACGAACCCTCGGAATGATGAACGCGGCAAATGTATATGTCCGTTTTTCAGCAAATGTTCATCTCCGGTGTTCAGCAAATGTACACCTCTGGATTTCAGCACAGGTGGATGAATGACAGCCGTCCGATCGCTATAAACAGAAGCTATCTCGAAGAACATGCTAGTTATGGAGGTGGATGTTTTCTTTACTGCTGCTGCTGGTGCTTGGTCAGTTATACACGGATCGATTCCCGATAGATGGACCACCACCATCTTCTCGTCTTCATGCTTCCTCCACACGTCGGCAGATCGAGTCCCAGCGAGCCCATCGGCACCAGTTATTTGCTCTGTTGCCCCTCTCGACTTCCTCTGATGATCTTCTTCCATCTCCTTCCCTCAGCAATAAACACCTGAAACCAGAGCATTGCAGG